CTGTGTGTGTGACACTGCCCTGTCCCTGTGTGTGACACTGCCCTGTCCCTGTGTGTGACACTGCCCTGTCCCTGTGTGTGTGACACTGCCCTGTGCCTGTGTGTGACACTGCCCTGTCCCTGTGTGTGTGACACTGCCCTGTCCCTGTGTGTGTGACACTGCCCTGTCCCTGTGTGTGACACTGTCCTGTCTCTGTGTGTGTGACACTGTCCTGTCCCTGTGCCTGTGACACTGCCCTGTCCCTGTGTGTGTGACACAGCCCTGTCCCTGTGTGTGACACTGTCCTGTCCCCGTGTGTGTGACACAGCCCTGTCCCTGTGTGTGTGACACTGCTCTGTCTCTGTGTGTGTGACACTGCCCTGTGCCTGTGTGTGACACTGCCCTGTCTCTGTGTGTGACACTGCCCTGTCCCTGTGTGTGTGACACTGCCCTGTCCGTGTGTGTGACACAGCCCTGTCCCTGTGTGTGTGACACTGCTCTGTCTCTGTGTGTGTGACACTGCCCTGTCCCTGTGTGTGTGTGACACTGCCCTGTCCCTGTGTGTGTGACACTGCCCTGTCCCTGTGTGTGACACTGCCCTGTCCCTGTGTGTGTGACACTGCCCTGTCCCTGTGTGTGACACTGCCCTGTCCCTGTGTGTGTGACACTACCCTGTCCCTGTGTGTGACACTGCCCTGTCCCTGTGTGTGACACTGCCCTGTCCCTGTGTGTGTGACACTGCCCTGTCCCCGTGTGTGTGTGACACTGCCCTGTCTCTGTGTGTGTGACACTGCCCTGTCCCTGTGTGTNGACACTGCCCTGTCCCTGTGTGTGTGACACTGCCCTGTCCCTGTGTGTGACACTGCCCTGTCCCTGTGTGTGTGACACAGCCCTGTCCCTGTGTGTGTGACACAGCCCTGTCCCTGTGTGTGACACTGCCCTGTCCCTGTGTGTCCTGTCAGAGCTGTGTTTGTGTGACACAGCCCTGTCCTTGTGTCCTGGCTGAGTTGGTGTGTCACAGCCGTGTCCGTGCGCTGTGACAGCCCTGTCCCTGCAGTGTCACAGCCCTGTCCCCTGTCAGAGCTGGGTGTGTGTGTGTGACAGCCCTGTCCCTGCGGTGTCACAGCCCTGTCCGTGCGCTGTGACAGCCCTGTCCCCTCTGCTGTCCCCAGTTCATCGTGGAGTGCCATGGGAACACGCTGCTGCCGCAGTTCCTGGGCATGTACCGCCTGACGGTGGACGGCGTGGAGACCTACATGGTGGTCACCAGGAACGTCTTCAGCCACAGGCTGACCGTGCACAGGAAGTACGACCTGAAGGTGAGGCTGGGGGGGCTGGGGGCTCCTCCCGAATTTGGGGACTTGGGGCTGGGACCCCCCCCCTTGGCCGGGTCCTGCCTTTGGGGTCAGGCTTTGGGAGGCTGTGGGTGGAGGTTCGGTGTTGGTCCATTCCCACATCCCATCAGAGCACCAAAAGGGGCCTGAGCACTGATTTTAAAAATGTTTTCATTGTTTTCATGCATGGAGAAATTAAATCCTGTCAATCAATTAATTGGGAACATGACCCATAGTGCAGTGTTGATACTTTTAATTTTTATTTTGTTTTCATTGTTTTCCTGCATGGAGAAATTAAATGGAGTCAATCAATAATTGGGAACATGACCCATAGTGCAGTATTTATATTTTTTTTATTTGTTTTGCTTTCATTGTTTTTTTCATTGTTTTCCTGCATGGAGAAATTAAATGGTGTCAATCAATTAATTTGAAATATGACCCATAGTGCACTATTGATCCTTTTTATATGTTTTGCTTTCATTGTTTTTTTCATTGTTTTCCTGCATGGAGAAGTTAATAATTGGGAATATGACCCATAGTGCAGTGATGATATTTTCTTTAATTCTTTTGTTTTCATTGTTTTCCTGCATGGAGAAATTAAATGGTGCCAATCAATTAATTGGGAGCATGACCCATAGTGCAGTATTGATACTTTTTATTTGTTTTGCTTTCATTGTTTTGTTTCATTGTTTTCCTGTATGGAGAAATTAAATGGTGTCAATCAATTAATTGGGAATGTGACCCATAGTGCAGCAATGCTATTTTATTTGTTTTGCTTTCACTGTTTCTTTTATGGGGAAATTTAGAGGTGTCAATGAATTCACTGGAAATGTGACCCACAATGCAGTAATGATATTTTCTTCATTTTTTTTTTTCCTTTATCAGGGCTCAACAGTATCCAGGGAAGCAAGTGACAAAGAGAAGGTACAGGGCCATGTGTGGCCTTTCCTTTCCCTGCTTCTTGGGAGCAGACAGGATCCAGCTGAGCTCCCTTTCCCAAAGGGGTTTGGGCCAGGGGAGCTTTCACAGGCCCTGGGTCAGTCCTGGCTCTGTCCCCACTCTGTGCAGGAGCTGCCCTGCTGTGCTGTGGTGGCACTGCCAGCACTGGGGACACTCCCTGGGGACAATCCCAGCAGGACCAAAGCCCACCCTGGGACCTGAGGCAGCTCAGGGGGACATTTGCCACCAGGTTCTTTTACAAACTCTCAGGTCCTTGGCACGTTCCTAAAGCTGGCTTCTGGTGCCAGGGGGGAATTCAGGGCTGAGCCTCCTTCCCCTGCAGGACTCCTGTGATGCTGCCTTGAACCCCCTGTGGCAATCACAGCAGTGGCTCCTGCTCTTCTGTGTTTTTTCACAAAGGATTTTCAGGTTTGGGGTCTGTTCCATCCTGCCCTAAAAGGTCTCCTAAAAGCCAGAGGATCCCATTTGTCCTGAATCCTCTGGCCCAAGTGCCCACAGCTCCCTGGGCTGTTCCTGTGAACTCACAGAGCCACCACAGCTCCTGTGTGGCTGTAAATAATTGAAACCTTGAGGCACAAAGGGGCTCTGAGTTCTTCCACATCCCCAGAAATCCTCAGGGCCTGCTGCAGGCAGGTCCCTCGAAGATCAGTGAGGTTCATTTTTGCCTCACATCTTTAGGGAGAGAAGCTTTTTAATTTTTTTTTTTGCTTGCCAAGTCTTCACCCCTTACCCCTCACAGTCAGAAGCCAAGAAAATTAATTTCTTTAATTAATTTCTTTTCAATTCTGGGAGCTGCTTGGAGCATCCCTGGCCCAACTGTGCAGTTTTTAAAGCTGACTTGCTCCATGTTTCCCTCAAGCTTCCTGAGTCCTTCCACATCCCCAGAAATCCTCAGGGCCTGCTGCAGGCAGATCCCTCAAAAAAACCATGGCTTGAATTTTTTTCTCAAACCTTTAGAGGAGACAAGCTTTTTATTTTTTTCCCCAAGCCTTCACCCCTTTCCCCTCACAGTCAGAAGCCAAGAAAATGAATTTTTAAAATGAATTTTTTTTCAATTCTGGGAGCTACTTTGAGCATCCCTGGCCCAGCTGTGCAGTTTTTGACTTGCTCCACATTTCCCTCGAGCTTCCCTGCAGGTCCAGCTGAGCTGGACATCCCCTGACAATTGCTGTGCTCTGCCTGATGCTGTTCCCATCCTCAGGGAATTTTGGGCAGCCAAAAAGCCCAGACTGAGCAGAGGCTGTTCCAGCACAGGCTGCTGCTGCTCCCTGGGCTGGGAAATTTGACCTCAGGCTTTTTGTTGCAGGCCAAGGATCTCCCAACCTTCAAGGACAACGACTTCTTGAACGAGGGGCAGAAGCTGCACGTTGGAGAAGAGAGTAAAAAGAACTTCCTTGAAAAGCTGAAGAGAGATGTGGAGGTGATTTCCTGTGGGGGACAGCTCTGCTGTGTGTCCTGTCACTGCAGGGCTGCAGCAGTGACTGCAGGGCTCCTTCCTGCACCAGGATCCTGCAGGGCTGCAGCAGAGACTGCAGGGCTCCTTCCTGCACCAGCCAGGATCCTGCAGGGCTGCAGGGCTCCTTCCTGCACCAGGATCCTGCAGGGCTGCAGCAGTGACTGCAGGGCTCCTTCCTGCAGCTGTGCAGCTGCTCTGGAGTCTCAGCTCTCACTGCAGCCCCTGCTTAGGGAGGCTCTCTTGCTTTGAAAGACAGGTGTTTTAAGAAAGGCAGGAGCCTCTCTTAGAAATGGAGAATGCAAACCTCTTCTTTCCAAATTATTATAATTTTGAAATCAAGGGGCTCTC